AATATGTAAGTATAAGAAAACATGTTTTTTTTTATTTTTTACTTTACAATAATTATTATAAACAAGTATTATATATAACATTAACATATTATACATATCCTGCATATTGATGATTATCAAAATACAACTAAGCCAGGTAGGTTAATAACAAAGTCATTTGATGCCCACCATTTATCCGATTAATCCAACCATAATAATGATTAGGTACATAAGCGTAACTATTAAAAACGAATATTACTTTCCAGTATTTTTGTTGTTAAAGGTATAACATATGAGATTTCTTCTATTAAATTTTCAAATGAAAAATGAATTATCTATGAAAAGAAAATTTCCTATGAATTTCCAACAGTAAAATAGTTTGCAAATTTTCACAAAAATGTTTACTTTTCCCTAATTTTTTTTTCTCAGTGAATTTAAAAACTTCTGGGAATTTCTTACTTTCAACCCCCCAAAAGGTGATTTCAGACAAAAAAAAACACATTGTAAAATCAATACATTTTTACATTCATCTCAGAATCTAAAACATACATCATAATAAAATACATTCATCGGTTCTCTCACATTCTAAAAATGGTTATGAATTAATTTAATATTATAGTATAAAGTAAGATAATTGAAAACTTTCTCCTCAAAACTGATTCATACTTAAGCGCATAACGTATTAATTATAATTATAAATAATTTATAATAGAATATAATGTATGTATTAACTATTAACTAATGTAAGAATTTACCAAACAAAAAAGTTCTATAATTTTCGTCCGGAAATATTTGTATCCAATGAAATTCAAAACAATACTCTAAAAATATTTTAAAGTCTAAATTAATACATAATATATTATTATATATACCTATTTAACGAATACTGATTTCTATATTTTCCATGTACATAATATTATTATGTATACGAACAGATATACAGCATAAATCATAACACAAACAATCTATTTAAGCTACACAATTATTACTTATTATAAACTACAAAATGCTTCAGAAGTTACCATTAGGATTGTTTTTCATAAATTCGTTGGAATCTATAAATATATTATAAAAAACATTTTTTTAATAATACATGTTAACAATATACTCTATTGAAAACAAGAAAGGTAGTCGGCGTCCAACTTGTAAACAGGGACGTGGCGTTGATGCTTTGTTCCAAAGCACTGGCCCCACTCGTTGATCCGGTAGATTCAAATGACGAATTTTTCTCTTTACTCGGGTCACCGAGAGAATCCTACTCCTTGGCACGTCCAAAGTAACGAGCTCCACGATCTCGTGCCTAAATTTCTCGAACTTCAATACCTTCTCGCTGCTGTAAATTCCCCCATTTACGGTGACGGCACAGCGAGGCCAATGGTGGTAAGTTTAGTGGTGAGAATGAGCGAGAACGGGTCACTTTAGATCGCCACCCAGCAGCGTTCTTTCGGTGGTCTGAGTATAATAGGTGTTCGCACATGAACTTTATGTGTGTCTGTATTTTTATGCTGGCTAACATAGTGGAGACGACAATTTTTTAATTCATTGTTACGTTGAGGACGAGTGCCGTGTCTAACACGGTCATAGTTTTTTAGTATCGGAGACGATGCTATTTTTTTACATCGCAACGTTGAGGACGCTTACCGTGTTTAAAACGGGTGTAACGTAACGAGACAGGACATACCCATAACAAACGCGATCAGTAGCGCGCGGAGTGGTTAAATTATAAGCTGCTGTCGGCCGTTGTGCACCAGCGCGCCACCGTCCGACAATTAAACAACTAAAACAAGCTACGGTCGAAGACAAAACCACGACAGATGGCGCTAATTCACATCCATCTTTCGCCCCATAATATATTCATGAAGACACTTAATTAAAATTAGCATCTTACAAACAGAATCGGTACAATGAATCCAATGTTACCACAGAGGCTGCCCGGCACCCACATATTCCGGCAGCAATCAACAAGACGGGTGAAATAACGTAATCAGAGAAATCCAAACCCACCGTTCTAGTTCACGGTGACCACCGAGATAGTCAGGAAATAGGCCCGTGAATAACATCAAAAACCACCATTCGTCGTACCATATTCGTACTAGCCTAGCAATTGGTCATTCCACCGTCAGACTAGACAGTATAACACCATCCGCCGCCGTTTCGTCGAGCCGTCGAGGAAACACCATCCCGTCGTCGCTTTCGTCGTACCGCCACCTGATTCGTGCTGGCCTAGGACGTGATCCAGTCCACGTGCAAATCATTGGCTGACTTACATCTATTAACTCAATTCAGGAAACCGTGAGTTTATATAAATTAAAATTGTATAATTTATCTTCCTTGTTATATGTTTTTTTGACTGTCACATCACTTAAGTGATATAAATTATATTAACAAAAGAAAATATTGTCATCTTATATACACAAAATATATATACATGTATTTTCAATAAAGATAATATTTATGTGTACAAAAATCCGTGCTGCGTTCATCATTTTTATTACACGGGCAATATTTTTGGGTTTAAAAGACGAACACCGTGTTTTATAAGAAATCGTTTAAGTATATCGATATTTAATTTATATAAATTGTATTAAAAACATCGCAATACCAACAATTGTATCGATACTTTTTTCGATTATATTATACTATTGTCTAAAAATTATAACAAATAATTATGTTGTTGACATTATTTCCCTATCAAGCATTGATTGCATACGATGTCCTGGGCGTTAAATTCTTTATTTTAATGGTTGTTGGCTTGTTTTATTTGTTTTTTTTGTAATTAGATGTGTAATACGAATAATAATAAATTCGTATAACACATCTATTTATTTTTATGATTACTAAGTTATAAACATTGCATACATCGAATGTTTGCGGAAAAATAATATTATCAAAACGGAAGAATTATACCATTATTGTTTTAAGTCCTTTGCTCCTACTATAAAAAAAATATATTATAGCTAGTATTATAGCTCTAGTATTATACTCGAATTTATAAAAAATTCGACAAGATAAAATATATATCTCGGTCAACTTTTTGTTTTGACTATTAGTAATCAGCCGTATATTACAGGTATCGGGTTTTAGATAATCATATTTATTTTTAGACCTATTTTTAGATCAATACTCAGAGAGTTCGATGAAAAAAATAAGAAGTTAATCGGATTATTCAATAACGACTAAAAAAATACAGAAAACATGTGAAAACAGCCCGTCCACACAACAAATAATTGGCGGGAAATGTTCATCCGTATACATTAAACACACATACCGCGTTAAACGCGGTATTCGTCTCCAACGTATTACCATTGTACAAATTCCAGCGTCCCACGTATCTTAAAATCGTGGCCATGTCTAACACGGTACTTGTCTCCAATGTGCTAACGGTACTCAGCGGCTCATAATGACGGGTGCTCTCGAGTGAGCAAACCATCCAGTTGGTTTGTGTTGGCGAAAGATGGGATGACAAAAAATATTGTACACTCTGTTTTTTACTAATATTTTCATAATTAGTGAAGATCAATTTTAATAAATTATTAAAATAATACATTTTTGATATTTTTTCATTTTTATATTCCGTCGTCGTTCACAGCACTCCATACCTATTCCATTTATATACCACATGCTTACACAATTATATTAAATTAGTTATTTTTTTCTAGCTAAATATTCCCTATAAATAATTTATATGACAAAACAACGTTTGTCGGGTCGGCTAGTTATATTATATGATATGATATGAAATTATGAAAAAATATATAATATAACCTATTACCAGAGTTAAAAATGGCATCGTAATAAGAGCCATCATATTCCTCGTATTCTCTTGGAACGCCTGAAAAAAATAAAAATAAAAACAAAATTATTTTATGTTTCTGTACGTTTATCAAATTTCTAACCAACCGAACAAAGATAAATGTAAAGATACCAAATGGCAAATGCGATATGTAATGGTAAATGTCACATTGACGCTCACCCATATACTAAAACGGCCCTTCTAGGAGTCACCGAAGAATTTACATGTAAATACAAAACTCAATGAAACCACGCGTGTAAGAAAACAAGTAGGACACAAAATTATAACTCTGAACTACAACTGGAAAGAGTAGTATAAAAATCTAGGTTTTTGACAATAAGATAAGTATTGTTGGCGTCAGAATAATAAGGCTGTGTTTTCATTGTAGGTACATGGTTGCATCATGTTGAGCCACTATCATTAATTGTTATAACCAAAAAAAAAAGTTCTTTAGTCACAACGAAACCGATCTACGAATCAATAAATTAATAATGTAAATATTTTCCTTATTATGTAAGATAAAAATTGCAAATTACAAATTACAATCCACAGCCTCTTTGTTTATAACTTAATTGAGTGTCCGAAACTCCGAACAAGTAAACTTAAGAAATTGAAAAATCTGAATTTGAAAAAAAGCATTTTTTTTTAGTAATAGGGGATATCGTACTTGAAGAATTACAAGAATTACCATGGGATTTATAAAAAGTGATCTACCCTTATACCTATGTGTTATCATTTGTAACTATGGTATTGTGGACTGTATGGTAAATACTAAATACTAATGTAATGACGGTTGAGATGAAGAAACTCACAAATGGTTTTAGTTTTATGCCGGGTGACGGACTACTATTTTCAATGAGATAAGAAAGGCAATTGGGACACACAAGTGTCGGCCGGCGTTGTGGCTTTTACGAGTATAAGTAATAATACAAAAAATACTTAACTCACTAATAATTAAAGAAATATAATTAACAAATAACCGCATTCCGGTGGGCTCGACGGAGTTGGTGTGGTAGTAACAGAAGTGACGGTGACAATGACAGCAACAGTGACAGCAGTAACTTATAAATTAACACACATAACTGACACGTTTAGTAAAAAAGGCCCAACCTCGGCACTCGTTGTCGTCGATGTGAAACACAAGCTGAACAATGCCGTGATGGTGCGTACGTTTTCGGACCTGTTATCTTCACCTGTGCTATCACTGTTCGTCATGAGTCATGACCATGAATTAAGATATACTGGATACGGAACGGAGCAGGTTATCAGTCTATAAAATGAAACTGAAAAGTGCTAAGACAATCAGCTGCTGTGTCAAGAATACTAGCGCTCTCTAGTTATATTATATTATATTCCCGCACTTTTTTTGAAAATATATTATAAATATTATTGTATTTGATTTGTGTATTTGAATATTTTGAAATTTATATGATGTATTTTAAAATACGGTATTCCTTAAAAAAAGCCCCGATATCAAAATACGGTAAAAAAAGCCCCACCTATAGGGAAAAAAAGGCCCGTACTAACTAAATTCATAACGCATTTTCATTATAGTGCAAGTTTTATAGTTTAATATTTATATGTAGGTAATTTTTTTTGATAACAATTAGAGGTAGTTAGTTCTTATAATACGTGATTACAAATTGTTGATGATAATTTGCATTTTCTCATTATTTCATTGTACGTATTAAATATTTTTAAACATATTGTATATACATTTATACGTCTACCATGGTAAGAGAGAACAAATGTTGTATACAAAACTGTCCAGGGTTACATAAATCTAGGTTTAGCATCCCACAACATTCTTTCAACGAATGGCAAGAAGCAATCGGAACATCTTTAACCAAAAAATCAAGAATTTGTGGAGCTCATTTTTCTAAAAATGATATTCACGATACTTGGACTTCCGGTGAAGGGTCAAATCAGTATTCGGTAAGTTATAAGTTTAATTTTTGATTATAATCATTGTCATAATATACCTAACATAATATACTTGGTATAATGCTAAATTTTATCACTGATGCTTACTAAGTTTTTTGTTCTAAAATATATATAGATATGCTTAAAAAAGCCAAGACTAAAAGATGGAGCAGTTCCTAAATTACTTTTAAATGGCAATGCTGGAAATGTTGATACACCCATCACTCTCAATACCTCAAGTAGTTTTAATGTTGAACCTAGTATTCACTCTGCTTCAGAAGTTGTTGAAATCAAACAGGTTCAAATATTATTTTTATTTTTTATTACCATATACATTTTGTATAAATAGCCTAAACAGTTAATTTTATGTACTACTTAGGAGAATTGAGAGTTCATTCATGAAACATGCAAGTAGTGCCTCTGTGTTCGATGATACTGTAGAGGACTTCATATCAAACAATTATATAATACCATTTCCTTGTAATGTCCATAAAGAAGAGGTCATATTGGATATACTAATATCATATATTACAATGAGAATGCGTCAACATTCCTATATGACTAATAAAAAACTAAAAAGTCAAAACATAATAAAAAAGAAACTGTCAAAGTTAGTTTCCAAATAATATTAAGAACAATTTATTTGGAAATAATTGTACACAATTAAAAGTTATGATTAATAAATTAAATACATATTAAAAACTTTAAACATAAATGATTTTTGAATAATTTTCTGTGATAGACGATAGTACTGATAATAAGTACATACATTATACACTAGGGCTAAAGTAGCGCTAGGTGGTTTGACACATCTTAGCAATTAGTGTAGGTATTCAGTTTATCACATTCCGTTCCGTATCCAGTATATCTTAATTCATGGTCATGACCATCGGGTTTGAGTGATATTATATAACATTTTAACTATATTTTAAAGTATATCCAGTCAATAGCACTAATGATGTTTTCAGTTTTGCTTACTAAATTCTACGACTTGAAGTGGACCAAGACGGCGTAAACATAAACATTTCAGAGTTTGTTATATTTTACTCCTTTTATTTGTTGTTCATAATTTATCGCATACAATTCGTAGAACTATGAGGGTTTACACCGGTAGTATATTTTCTCATTGAGTTTTAGTTGGAGTGAAAAAAATGCATAAATCATATTTATATTTATCTAGGTAACATGTTTATCTGCAATGTGATTGTACCTTAAAGTTTTTCACAACCATCACAACAGATTCTATAATCTATTTGTAAATACATATATAGAATATTTAAACTATTTATAACAACTCATTGGATTCCCAAATAAATTATTACGAAAACTAAACTACAATGGTTACGATTATTTAAAAATAACAACCATGACTTACTCATTTTAAAATGTTTCGCAATATCAATAGTCATTGGAATTATATCTAAAGTTATTATAAACATTAATTGTGTTATAAATAAATTGAGTTAATTTTACTAAACTTTAATCAAACATTATAACTTTAGAAGCTCTAAAGATAATTATAAGCTAAATACAATCAATAAAACACATATACCTAAATGTATCTTTAAATGTAAAGTATAACTACATAATATTGTTATTTATTTTTATTTATTTTTTTTACTCTTAGTAAAATTAAATAAAGAAATTAAACAAATAGGTTTCCATTTAAAATGTTAAAGTTTATAGTATTTACGCCAAGAAATATAAGTATTAAAAAAAGTTAAGACAGTATAAACTGTTAGAATTAAGCGTTTTTTAATTTTTTAAATATAAAACAATATGAAATAATGAATAATGTAGTTAATACTTTTTTATGTAACGAGTATAGGTAAGGGCCTATACTTAATTCCACGTTATACAAATGATACATAATATATGAAGTAACTTACGCATTTGGGCCATTCTTATTTCATAATCCTTATATATTTCACATTGATTTATGTAAACTGAAATATAAAATTGAATTACGATTGATTCCGTTATTAAAAAATTGACAAAATGAAAAAAAAAATATTAAAATCATTTGTTCATATCTTAAATGTATACCAAATATTAAAATATATAATATTATAATTCTATAAGCCCCATATAAAGGTTTTATTTCGAATTAATTTTCCGTTCCAACGAACTTACTATATAATAGGTAAATACCAACATAAGTAATAACTAACTATATGAAAATATTAATGATAAAAACCAATGATTTACTTTCGAAGACCACCTGCAAAGTCTTTACAAATCCCTTTCCTATGACTTAAAAAAATAAGATGGCACTTAAGAGCTAAGAAGTCGTTCTTATCTGGTACTACCAACTTACTGACTCAACAAGTAGATTATTTAAAACATGTATTGAGAAAAAAAATTCGAAACAATATTTTAAAATAAAATGATAAAGTCCATTTTATTATTGAATATTTTTTATTCGTTCATCCGCATTTAGTATAATATGTTGAATGCCACTAAGATGATTTTAATAATTACCTAAATAACTCATCATGTATAACAAACTAAATACATGTAAGCTACTTATTAAAAATAAAAATGGATGTACAATGCACATGGTTTCAAAAATTAAGGTTATACCGAAAATCCAATAAAAAAAAAAAATATGAATATTCCAATTCAAAACCATTTGTCGAATCACAACGACACAACCACACATTAGTTTGTCTCAATCACAAACCATACTATACGTCATCTCAATCTCCATGTACAAGCTGTAGACAATACAGCCATATATCTATATCGTCGCTACCATTCCTCATTCCTCAATCCCAAAAATCAGTTTATAGGTATTTTAGCTACAAGAACTATGCCTAAGAATCTTCCCATCAGAATGAAATGGTCCCGCGACTTACTATAGTACTTACAATTTTCTAGATAAAAATTTCATTATAACGAGTGACTCCTTTTTTTAAAATTAAAAACTAATAAAACATTATACATTGATTGTGCATGAAAAAAACAATTTAAAAGTCTTTCACAATAGGTATTTAAAGCGTTATCTAGCACGTTGGAATGAAAATACTGTAATATATCGGGCATCAATATCACAAAAAGAACTTTGAATATCGATAGCCATAAAACACTGTCGATCAAAACTGCATTGAATTTCTTGAAAGTTCGACAATTCGAAAATAAAACTATATTAATTAAAATGAGTACCTTTTTTTAAATCTTCGAAATCTTCTTCATCTAAATAATCGGGATCTTGAAAAATAGATAATTTTAAAATTAATTTAAACTTGAAATACAATGTAAGTTTATGAATATTTAAGCAAATAAACAATAAATAAATAGCTTCTAATATTAAATATAAAAACCATTTTATAGTAAATAGAAATTATATTATGTATAATAATTTATTACCAGTCTTTTCCACATCATATCCGGTCGTTAGGTCATCCTCAATTATACTTTCTACGAACAATATATATTGATTAACCTTATGAATTATGTATGAATAATGAATAAATACAACTAAAATACAATATCAAAAACTAACACAAACATAATAAATATTAGGTAACAAGAAAAATTAAAGGTTAATGAATAAGATACAATAAATAAGCATTAAAAACAATGTAAATATTAAAAAGTATACGTTTAGTTACTTAAATGAACTAATTTAGTAAAATAAAATATGAGAACACTCTAAACATACAAAATGTAATTTAAAACGATTCACCTATATTAATGTTTTTTCATCTATATTAACTATTCTCCAAGCAAATTAATGGTTTTATATTATTGTTTCTCAAGAATAAATGTGAATTTGCAATGTTTTCTTTAACATTGTTTTGGGTCTCTGTTCTCATTTCCTTTTCTTAGAGATTTTATACCATCTCTACTTATTTTAAGTTTGGGCTCCATACAAAAATTTAAAATGTAGGACCCTGATGCAAATGTGCAACGAACCAACCGCACTCCGGTTTCTAAGGCACTAGTGTTAGACACCGTATCACAACCTACAGGGGTTAAAAAAGAAGCAATGAACATTCCTGAGTTCAAGGAACATGGGTGCAAATTGATTTTGTAGTTTCCAAATCGATAAGATATTGTCTTCGTCTAATAGATTGGTTTCTTGAAAAATAGATAATTTTTAAATTAAGTTAAACTTTAAATATAATGTAAGTACATAATTATTATTTTATACATACCTACATTTTAAACCTATTGTTCTTGTTTATGAGTTTATAAATTGATACAATCGCAAACAGTTTATATTTGACAATAATTTTTAAGGCCCCTGCAAATTCTATTCATTTTCAATCAAATCGACCTTAGCGACTGACAAAAATTTAAGTACTTCTAGTTTATCGATTTAAAAAATGTAAAGATGTTTTAATTGGTCAACAAGTCTACTTTGCATCGGTCGGACCATATTTTTGATATTTTTGAAGATATTCAATACTAAAAATTTATAAATTTATAAAATGTAAAATATTTATTCTCGTCAAGAATTTTTCTAAAATTGAAAAAGTGCTCCGACCGATGCAAAGTAAACTTGTTTACCAACACCAACATTTTTTAAATCGAACCACTAGAAGTAACTAAATTTTTGTCAGTGCGACGGCTATTTCACGTCCATAAATTGGTTTTAAATATTTTGATCTAGACATTGAATGACTTGTGCGTGTGCGTGCGTGCGCGACCATAAATCAGATAAGAAATAACAATGTATTGTAAATGGATGCGAGTCGCGGGTGATGGGTAGGGGAGTATACACACACTAATGATAATTTACTACACACACAAAAACGATCAGTAATCGCAGGAACGAAATAATTGCCTAAACACAACTCCTTAAAAATGACACATTTGCAGGGGCCTTAAGGAAATAAACAACAGCAAATAACTTCTAATTTTTTTAAATTTTTTTTTAAATTTTATAAGTGCACATACACAATCTAACATTTTGTACAGTAAGCATATAGGATAAGAGTTAAAACACGGATTGTTTGAATAAGAAGCCTGGAACTGTAATAGTTTATGCTGATGGTTCTAAAATAAAAAAAGAAAAAAAGAAGCCACCCATTAGTAGCACTGACTTAACGTGATGTTTAGGGTAATTAAGGAGGGATATTTAATTTAAATGGACACGATTTCTTTTTGAGTCTTCGTTGTAGATTTCTAAGGAGTGAGAAGGTATGTAACTCTTTTATTAGTGGGTTAGGGTGATTTTCAAGTCTGCCAAAAAAACGTTTTTAAAAAAGTTTTACTTCAGTTACAATAGGTAGAATACTTAGATATTGGTGGAGAGTTCAATTAGAAACAAAGAAAGGAGCATTAGTGATTTTTCTAAGAATAATATTCTGAAAGACTTGAATTTTGTTTAAATTTGATTTTTTGGCCGATCCCCAGAATTGTAATCCATATGTCCATATTGGCTTTAGGAGAGTTTTGTATACAAGTATTTTGGTTTTTAAGCTACTAAATTTATTTTTTGATAATAGTGTTTTCAGCGATCTTGATCAAGCATTAAGGATCTTTTAGTTTTTTTATGTTTGTTCTAAGTTAATTTTTGGTCAAGGATTAATCCTAAATATTTAACTTTTAACAGCATTGAGGTGTGGGATAGGTATGTTATTAATTGAAACAGTTAAACATTGACCGTGTCTAAGGGAAAAAGTTGTTT